TGTGTGTGTGTGTGTGTGTGTGTGTGTGTGTGTGTGTGTGTGTGTGCGTGCGTTTTTGTGTGTGTGTGTGTGTGTGCTTACAGTAAGTGCAAGGCGGCTCTTGTGTTTTGAAATGGGTGTTTTCTTGTTTTGTTTTAGGAGCAGTTCAGGCACACCAACAAAAATGTTTCTCTGGGACTGATTTGTCTTAATGGTAGAGAGCTTGAGCTTTTAATGCTACAACAAGCAACACAGCTAAGAACAGAGAAATGCAATGACAGAAAGAAAGACAAGAGAGAGATAAACAAGGAGATATGAGGAGAGGCAATGGGAGGGATAGCTGAGGTCGCTGTGTCGAAAGGATGAATCGGCACCACTCAAGGGCAGAGTGAAGGAATGGAGACAGAGAGCTAGAGAGCGATGGTGTTACTGGTTTGAATGGACAGCACCGCAGGGCAGAAAGGGGAGAAATGGGAAGAGGGGGAGGAATGAAGAGGTGGGTGGTGGTTAGTCACAGCTCTTTAGGGCACATCAGGGCAAACGGTCCCTTACATCACTGTGACACACACAAACACAGTGCAACTGACACACATGAAGATATGCTGACACACTTCTGCCTCAGAGGATGTGGAAAACCCACTTTGCACCTTCCTCGGAAAAAGAGAGGAAGGAGGAGGAAGAGGAGGAGGAAAGGGGTGTGGAAGAGAGAGAGTGAATCAGAGGGGAGGGCAGAGAAACAAAGAATGGAAAGGAGGAGATGGTTCAGGGTTTGGTGTTAAAGAAGGTTTTGAATGAGTTGGGCAAGAATACAGTCAAGCAGACGCACACACTAACGCAGATACTCAAGCACGGCGTATGAAGGCCAGGTGGACGTCTCATGTTGAGGAAACCTGACCTGACAGCTTGGCAAAGGGGAGGGGGCAGAGTAGGAGAGCTTTTGTGCTTCTCTTTTCTCTAAATCAAAAAAAAGTAGTTTGAAATGATGTGTTGTTTGAAACTAAACGTACTCACATGAATTTTGTGAAAATATTTGAAGTAAAAAAAAAAAAAAGGTATATTACATTCAAGAGTGTGTTGTGGTATAATTGTACAAATATTTCACTGTATGACCATGTGTGCATGATGAACATCTCTATTTGTCCCTCGTAGGCGCTCCAGGCAGCCAGACAGTTCCTCCTCCAGCAGGCCTCTGGACTCAACTCCCCTGGCAGCAACGAGGTCAAACAGAGCGCTGTGCAGGTCAGAGCACACACACACACACACACGCACACACACACACACACACACACACACAGATCCACACTCACGTGCACAACCCAAGTGTTGCTTTGTCAGAATCTGTATAATATTAAGCCCCTGGCTGCTGCAGCTTTGCCTTCACCAACTTGCCACGTCAACTACGCAGTATGATATACAGTAGGCTCATACTTTTCTCTCTCCCTCTCGTACTCTGTCTATCTGTGTCTCTTTCTGTGAGTGCATGTGTGTGTGTGCGCGTGTGTGTGTGTGAATGAGGTCTTTGTAGTGATTGGGTAGTGAGCTGTTTTCAGAGTTGAATTCCACAGTAAGCAGAGAGAGTGGGGTTAGCTGGAGTGCAGGATCCCCACTGTGGAGGACTTGAGGAGGACACACACACACACAAAGACAGTACACACACACACACATTATTACCATCTGTGTAGGTTGACGAATATCACACATGACATTATTTCTGGCAGTTCTTTACATTAATGTGATGTGCAGAGAACATGCAGAAGTGTGATTTGTAGCCATGTCTCATATCAATAAAGTGGGACCAAGGGTCTACTAGAGCAGCAAGCAGGCTGGCTATTGCCCTGCTCTTCTCGTTAACGTGCCACATGATAAACAGACAGCTGGACCATCACGGTATGGGAAATAAAAGAAAGAGATAGAAGGGAGAGACGGACAGATGTGAGTCGGAAGCAAGAATAAGGTCAGATTTCATTTGCAGTTTCGGCCGACAGGAAGGTGCTTGTGGGAAAAATAGGACGAACATTTCACATTAAAAGGTGATAATACATTGTACGGCAACTAGATAAAGACATATGACTTATGTTTAGGGAGATATGCTGCAACATTTACATGCAAGTGAGAGAACATAAGATTAATGCTTCATGGGAGCATTTTCATTTGTTCACATAAATATTTGGTGTTGGTTCATGTTTTTCCAGGAAAACTCCTTTGGTGCAAAGAGACTACCTTTCAAGTCCAGCAGCAGGAAGGGGGGGGGAGGGGGGGGGGTGTTTGTTTGAAATAGTCAGAGGAAGAGCTGGGTGTTGAATATGAACAGGAGTGGCCATCATGACAGAGCAGAAAAAAAAAAACTCATCATCAACAGAAAGACCAAAGAAAAATAATTTGCCGTGTCGGCCACACAGTTTAATTGCCAAGTGACCCCTGGAAGTGCAAAAATGCCACAGAATTAATGACGATGTGAAGATGTCAGAAATGAAAAAAAACAAGGATCTCGCAGATTACACTTGAATTGTATCAGAATCACTTTATTTACATTGGATAGCAACTGGCAGTTGTATAAATTACCTGGTCACTCTTAAGGGCCATGAGAATAAAATAGATACGGTTTTATATCAGATCTTTATTGTTAAAATATTCCAAAGATTAAAGTTGCATTTGGTCTGTAAATCACCACAAACTGGGGCACATGTGGCCTAAATTGATATTAATACACATGCCATCAGTCACAGTAGTTCAACCATTCGCCTAAAGTCTGGTCTCCTCTGGCTCTGCCTTGCACTCCTATTATCTTATCAGACCGACACACATGGTTTAAATCGTCATTTGCGGTCGATCCAAATGGTTGAGTGTGTGTGTTGTGGGTCAAACACATACCGCTCTGCTTGGCTCTTGGGATGGGATTTTGATTACATTTTTCTAACGTTTAAACTCTGACTCATCTTAAAAATAACGAAAGCGATAGAAAGTGGGGAAGTAAGAGAACGCAAGCATGTAGAGGGAACTGAAAGTGTACGTGTAACGTAAATCTATTTGTTTAGCAATGAAGTGTAAGGAACTACTGTTGTGTCTCTGCGAACACTGACAGCGGATTAACCCGTGACAGTATTCTCACAAGGATGGGGTCAAGCACAGGTGCATTATACATGTTTGTCTTACGTGAGTTACCTTACACTGCCTTCCTCCTCTCTCTCTGTCGTGAACACACACACTCTCTCTCACACACACACATACACACATCACGCCACCCCTCCTCTTCTCACTCCATATCTGTCTTATTTGTCTTGTTTGTTGTTGCCTGGCCTGGCTAGCCTCTCTGGACTCTCCAGGGCATCCACGCTACATCTCTGTTGTCTGAGCTGTCAGCTCGCATGGCCCCACGTACCCCGGCAACACTCTCACACACACTTGGATTTACATTTGTGTGTGTGTGTGTTTGTGTCTGTTTTCACTTGGATCCTCGCAGTCAGAAACACAGACACAAACAACAAAGCATTAAACAGCTTCAGTGCTGCACTGAAGCTGTTTAATAGACCTCACAACAAACCTGACTACCAAGGTGGCGCGCATAAACATCTTAATTACCGTAATTTCCAGCTTTATGATTATTTTAAAATTGCAGCAACTTCCCTTAGTTGCTGTAATTGAAGCAATCATCCGTCGGCCACGGAGAGGGTGAGTGAGCGATGGAGTGAGAGAAGCCAGACATTTAATCTGGTCATTTCTAAAGGTGGCAGGAAGCAACTGTACAGTGGCTCACAGTGGCTCACATCAGGCACAAAATGGCCGTCCTCAGGTTGGTTCCTGCTGAGCTGCTCTCACACATGCAAATGAGCCTCAGCCAATAATGAGATCTTTAGGAGCTCGATAATTAGATTTTTCCCTTCTCTCTGAGGGAGAACGACAGAGGCAGACAGGGAGAGTGGGAAGACTTCTATTCGTGTCTTGACTTCTCTGGAGAAGCCTTGGTCTGCGCTGACAACCCCCCTCTTCTCGTGCCCCCCCGCCCCTTCCCCATCCCCATCATATTTCTCTTCTTTTCTTTATTTATAATAGAGGGGAGGATCTGAGCTGAGAGCAAAAGAAACTCTGAGATTATATCTGCTTTTTGATTGGTTGTTCAGAGATTGTCTCTGTGTTTGGCTGGCTGTGTGAGATGGTATCAATCCACTTTGTGCGTGTGCGTGTGTCACTGTCATGTGTCACATTCAGGAGAAACTCGACAATAGCTCAAGTCTCTAGACAAGGCAATTGCACGAAAAAATTGATTGTGTGCAACAAAATTGTAGTTACATTTGCTGAAAAGCACAATGATCAGAATAGTGTAACGGGATTATTTGGGAGTTTGATAATTCAAGACTAAAGAGGAGTTTTAATTTGAGGTTAGAAACAAATTTCACACAAATAAATAAATCATTCTTTGTAATGATAATAATTTGGTGGACGGTAATACTTAAGATGAGAAAATCGCCAATGAAATGGATATGTTACAAAGACTGTTATGCTTATGGTCTTGTCGGTCTGTCACTCACTATTGGATTATGTTTAAGATTTTTAAGGTTGTTTACTGGAGTCACGGGATATTGCGAAACAAATCAATAGTAGTAACTCTATGTCCTTCATTTAGTCTTTCCTGAATAAGTACAAGTAAAAAAGGACTTTCCTTTGTGAAATACTACATAGATATCCATGCCCTCTGAGGTATTTGGATAATTTCTCTCTTTAGCTGTGTGTTTGTAGTAGGTATTGGCCATAGTTGGCCACAGTTACTGTAATTGGTCGTGGAACGTGTGCGACCAAGTGAATTGGTTGACACACAGTTGGCAGACAGAGTGCCAATTGGCGGATTACCCAGCATGATGCGTAGCATGCCTCCGTGACCTGCCACACGTTCTCTACAATGGGCACACTTGGCACGCGCTCATGCACTGGGTGGACACACAAGCAGACACATATACACCCACTTGGCAGACGCACGCCTGGCACACTTAACACACTGCCACTTGGCATGCACACATACAGATTAATGCACGTGCTTGGCTGCAGCCCATACGTATGTAATTGAATAGCGTGGTGTCCTGTTTTCATGTATTATTGAGGACCTCGTTTAATTAGGAAAAAAAATGAAAAGACTCATTAGAGATATGTTAATTAGCTTGCCTCTCTGCTCTCTGGAGAAGGCTGGCACCAGCACAGTGGGATGGAGGAAGAGAGGGAGCCACGCAGGAAAGACGGGAGGAAGAAACTGAGTCATGTCAGTCTTAGAGCTGAACGTTTATTGCGGTGAAAATACTTTTAATCAATATTACAACCCTAACTCACCAGTTTTTTATACATATACTGTATGCTGCTAAATAGATTCCTGGCTTCCCTAGCTGCCTTATTTGAACCACTACAGATTTGAAAAAAACACTGAATATAGAAATTCTGAGGCAGGGTTCAAAGTCTTTTAACTAATCAACAAAAGTATGTGGAAAGATGAGTGTTTAGCCCCCCAGAGTCTGCGATGCTGAAGCGGGTCCTTCTCTCCTTCTCTTTTATTTCCTTTCAAAGTGTTTTTCCCAAAGCACTCCTTTTGTCCACTCAATGAAAGTGCTTAGTTGGCAGTTTCTGTTATTTGATGTGGAGGGAATTGGGGCTGCATGTGCAAGCGCATGTGTGTGTGTGTTGGGGGGGTAGTATGGGGTCCTGACAGTTTGTGAAGGGTGTACGGGAGGAGGTTGAGCAGCCAGTGGAATGGGTTTGGCTCTGAGCAGAGGGGTGGACAGACAGAGGGGAAGGATGGAGAGGAGAGGTTTGGGTCTGGCCACTGAAGTGTGAAACTCTTATTTTGTGATTTGAAACATGAGTGAAATCAGTAATGAAATATGGTCGATAACGGCCTCTCACACTTCCCAATGAAATGCCCTGAGCGTGTGTGTGCCTGTGTGTGTGTGTTTCTGAAAATGTGTTGTCATTTTTATTCTGAACCACTGGGGCGTTAGATGGAGGGAGGCGGCGGACAAGGGGAGACGAAGGGAGGGAGAGAGGGTGGGGAGGAGGAGGAGGAGGATTTTCCACTTGAACTTGCTGGTCTTTCACTGTCCTCTGAAGTTTTTTTTTTTTTTTTCGTTTTTTTTCATTTGTCTGGCCCCTGTCAGAGAGAGCCGACTGTTTTGCGCGTCCACGTGCATTGTGTATGTGTATGAGTATGTGTGCCTATGTGAGCATAGAACAAGGCCCAGCTCAGGCTCGTTGAGATCCCA